AACCCTGTGCGCCAGCGTAACAGTGCTTGGGTCCAGCCGCATCAGCTTGCCTCCTTCCTTACGTAGAAATTCGGCCCGCGGAGAGTGTCGTGAGCTAAAGGTTACTTGGTGAGGGACAACCTAAAGAGTCTCGCGGCGAAGTAGTTATACAATAAGGCAGGGGTATCGGAATAAGTCACTGCGGATTTTGGTAGAAACGAATCGTGTATTTCAGGCACTAACGAATACATACAAGTGCGCGTGGTGGCGAAATGTGAGCGGCAGCGAACAAGGCGACGACGCAACACAGCGCGCCGATCTTGTCAGCGACCGAACGAGATCGGACAACGAATTCGCTTAAAGCGGCTCGAGGCAAGACGCAATGCCGAGCAAAATGACAGGGTGCGTAAGTCGGACGAAAAACTAAAGTGACAAATGCAGTTAGCAAGCAATAGGAGAGAGAGAGCCTAAGAGAGAGAGAATCGAGTAGGTACTTACAGTAGTTTTCGTCGGTTATTAGAACGGCAGCAACGTACGAACAGTAGATCGCGATCACGCTTACTCCTGCCCTACACTCACGCGGGCGTTCTCACTTCTTAGTCTTATAGCTGACGGAATTCCTGTCAACATCAATTATGTGCCTTCGCTTATCGCTGGCGATCTTTGGACTCGTATAATCGCCACTGCGTACTCGCTTACTCCTTCGAGATCTCTCATAACGCAAAAGAAAAGATGTTACTGTCAAACTATGCTAGCGTCCGTACTTGTCTCTGCTCGCATGCCAACTGACTCATTGCGCGCTCTCCTTCTCTCTCCCCTTCGCGATCGCGGTCTCTCCGCGACATCCGCGCTAAGGACTATCGATAGTATAGATCGTAGGACTCGACTCTTACCTTGTTCGCTGACATTTCAACTGCGCTACAAATTACAAATTATTATAATGCATGGTAAAGTATAAATATGATTAATAAACAAACTGGCTGCAGGGAGAGAGAGACATAACGAGAATGCGACTCGTTATAGTATAAGTTACAATTGTCGCAAAAATTATCATCAAAAGTTATCAACTAATAAAGTTAATTAATGTAATAGCACAATAAAACAATAAGAAAAGTTTACATAGATTAATAGTTTATTACTAGTATAAGTAATTTCTAAAAAGAAATATTTAAGGGGACCTATCAATGTGACAGCCCAAAAAAAATCGATTTTTCAAGAATTTTTTTCTCAGCAACTACTGCATATAATCAAATAAACATTTTTTCCCGTAAAGGTATGATTCGAAAAAACAAAAAAATATTTTTTTTAGTTTGATGAAATGTTTATTTATTTATTTATAAAATAATTAGGAAACATAGAAAAAAAAAAGTTGTTCGTTGGCGTGCATGATTCTGGCTGTTCTGGACATCTGAAACAGAAATTTCAAAAAGTTTCTTAAATTGTTATGTAAATTGAAGGTAATGAACCTCTGAATAATTATTTTATAGAAAATTAACAAAATGGCGGCGTTTCTCGCAAAAATGGAAAAAAGGTCTTTTCTTTTGTACGATTAATCGTGTGTAACTTTGGTTAGATTCAAGCAAACATTTAGTTAGAGGTTCATTCCCTGCATTTTATAATTTTGAACATTTTCCAAATAGATTCAAGTCGATACGATCAACCGTTCTTGAGTTATCATGCACGCCAGTTACAAAAAAGTAGTTTTAAGAAAAACGCGTGCAGGTAGCGAGCGCGGTACGCTCTCACTTTTGAAGCAGTAAAATCGGTCAATAAGGTAGAATTCGACTAAACCGACTGCGGGCATCAATTCTAGAGGTAAATACTATCGAAAAATGCAACAACAAAAAAATCAATTTTTTCATCCCGTCACATTGAAAAGTCCTCTTAAATTAGTTAATAACAGTTGAATTATAATACATTTTTGTATTTGTAACGGTTTTTTTTATAAAATCTTATAATGCAAATACTTGATTAGTTAATTAAGATTAATAAATTATAAAGTTGTTATTATTATGTACAAAATTAACGCTTTCAATTTATATACAATTATATATTTAAATAAATTATTAATTTTTTATTTATTGATAAACAGTAATAATTAAGCTGTTATCAATGAAACCAATTCTTACTCATGTTTCTATGATATTCATCGCGAATTTAGATTATCCACATTATTCTGATAATTAATATTTACGATGTAATAAATAAATTAACTTTGCATATTAAAATTCAATATAATTTAGTAATTAAACGCAATTGCAATTATTATAATCTAAGTCTATACCCTAAAATCTATATAAAAAATGCTTTGTTTCATCAAAATTACTCTTAATTAATATATTTTAATAAAATAACAAAAACTATTATATCTATATCTATAAATAGGTGACGTCACGCTCCTTATATAGTCATGAAATTTGACTCTGGTGCTAAGACAATCATATAATATATAAGGTGGCGCCGTTTAATATGCTAATTGATGTAAACAGATTGATGAGTTTAGCTGGTTGCAGTGATCCAGTGAAATAAGAAAATAGCTCATAGATAGGACCGTTACAGCCATATATGCGCGTGATTTTTTCCTATTTATCTATTTAATTACTTCTGATTCTAAATTTTTTAAAACTCTAAAATTTATTATTGCAGAAATTAAACCTGAAAATCTAATTTCCTGTTTGATGTTGTATACCATTACCTCGACACACTCACTCCTTTTCATTTTGTCAATTTTATCGCTAGTTATTTACAATGTTATCGTGATTTCACCACTGATCTCTTCTTTATCACGCTGCATGAATCGAACGTGTCGCGCAATTCGATTCAACGCAATCAATTTTTTAATATATCTCTTAAGCTCACCCATCACTGTTCTGACAGAGATCCTCCATCTCATACAACTCTCGATCTATTTATTGTAAAAGACCCATCTTTTAAGAATTTCTTAAAATTCCATACACCATTCATTACTGATCACGAATTTATTAATATTCTGTTCGAATGCTTTTTTACTATACCCCCAAAAGATATTTTACCACTTGTTGACTAAATTCTATCGACATCCTCTAGCTTTCTTTCACTCTCTAACAGAGTTTGCTTTCTGTCTTTTCTGTGTATATGTTTGATGAGCCTCCTCTACTTCGATTGTCCTTTACTGTGTATTGTAATGAACATCTGCTTCGAATATACATTTCTTTTTTTAATAAAAATAGTTTCTAAAATTAAAACTTTAAGAATCTGGAAGTCGATATCAATTAACAAAATAGTTACTTACTCAGTTCTATCTTTTACAATAATTCTTTCATATATAGTGTAACGTTTGAGTATTTCTCACGTTAATAAAAGTTCGGACTCTTTACAGAAAATTCGCAATAACGTTTCCGAAAAAAGCAAGAATTTGACACGCGCGCAGTCTGAAAAATCAAAAGAAAATCTTTCGAGTGGCAAACCACGACGTTTGCCAACTCGATGAATCGTTTTCGAGATGTAATTGAGAGCAATTGCATCTATCGGGGAAAGGCCCGACAGCGCCGCAATTACTGCTCAATCTGATCTCTCAATAGCAAGTGTATTTAGAAGGGAAGATCTCTAAGGCTGCTTTTTTCTCATGAGAGAAATGGTCTCATGAGTTGAGCTCTTAGAGATCTATAGGATGGGAAGTTAACAGGCTAACCACTGATTAAGAAATTCGTCTCAGGAGATAGCTGAGGCTTTATTTCCAACAGTGCTCGCGTTGCTAAGCAAGGTAGGAGAGAATGAGTCCTCTTGCCGCAGCGACGAGCGAATTTATACATGCGAAATAGGCTCCTTTCTACGCTTGGTAGCCCCTACAACGCTATTTTTGTCTTTGGCGCAAATTTTATACATATTTTATCGCAAAATGGCTCGAACGAATTTACAAATATGTGATTTAAAAAATGAAACTGGAAAAGATGAATTTTTTAATATAAATTGCATCTCTAGGAAAAATCGCCTTTTAAAGTTATAAGCTATACAATTTAACAATCAAATTACGCCATTTTTACAATAAAATTATGGAAAATTTTTACATGGAAAAATCGCTTGTGGTTAGAAGATTGTTATCCATATAAAAGATGATTAATTTTGCTCTTTAATTTTGCATAATAATTAAAAAACAGATTTGCAATTTTCTTTTTTAGCGGTTTAAAAATCAGCAAATGAGTAACAATCTTAATCATCAATTTTATCGATACTTATGATCGATTTTCTATCTAACCGTGTCATTTTAATTGTTTAAAAAAATTATAAATTGTTTATTTATTGATAACTCAGTTAATAATGGGTTATCAAAGTGTCAAATTCTTGCTTTTCTGTTTTAACACGTCGAGATTGTAATCGCATACTTGAAATAACAATATCGTTGTTTATTGCAAAATAACTAACAATGTTAACTTGTAAATTAGATTTGACTAATAAATATCTATTTGAGAGTTAAATTAACATGAATTTCAGGATCAGCGCATCAAATTTGACTAAGAAATACTTTTGTTCGTTTAAAAAAATTTCAAATTAACGATTTTCTGTTGTAAACAATAAATTTTCCCACGGTCGTGACGTCACGCTCCTTATATGGTAATGTTTTCGCAGAGTTGCCCTAACACATTTGCATATACGTGTGAAAAGCGCCTACGCTCAATTACCGATTTTCTTTAATCGTTTCGTGTATGACGGGTTGCCGTTTTGCAGACGAAAATAGGAGACAAATCAGACAGGACCGTTACAATAGATATATTTTTTCATTATAAACAATGTCTAATCTTCTATTATTTATATCTGAATTGTTTCTCCACACATCTGTTAGCAGTATTTTTTTTTAATTTAAACTTCTGTTCTACGTCAGTTTTAACTTTAGTTGTGCAACATTAAAAATAAATTTTATCTACTCATTCTTAATAAAATTAAAAACAAGTAACCGAAATGAGATAGTAAGATAGAAAAAAACTTATTTTAATTATTTTGTAGATTCAATGATCTATAAAAATAATGTTATTTCAAATTCCCAGCTGACCCCATACTGAGAGAAGCAGTAACAGGAATATCACCCCCTGAAGCGGAAAAACATCAACTTTTTATTGATGTTCAACCAACAATGGGTACAGCGCTAAGAGCCAGAGCTAGAATTCAAATAAATCTTGCGGTCAGTCAAGTCCGCGATATTAAACAGGTTGCGTCTTTTCCTGACATCGTTTTTCCAATAATGTGGTTTGAGGATGTAAGTATATGAATATCATACACAATTTTGTAGTTGTAAATTCTTATGTAATTTTTTTCTTTAATTCAAATTCAAATGATTTTTTAATGATATTGTGTCATATATTAATGTCATATTTGACGAATTACCAGAAAATTATATTCCATATATTTTTCCAAAATAAAGTCAAGAAAACAATATTTATTATAAAGTTTCGAACTTTCAAACAAAAATATTTAAATTTTGAGATGAAAATTTGCAATGTGTATTTTTAATATGTGTTACATATGGGTTTCAAAATACGTATTATCAGTCGATAATTATCAATTTGATACTACTCATCATACAAACACCTTTTGCATTGGAAACACAAGATCGCGTTCATTCCATATAAAAAAAATTCAAGTACATAATGACAAAAATATTTTTTTTTGAAACTGATAAACTATTAGATGTTAGGATCAAAGAACAAATTTATTTGATTAAGTATATTACTAAATACATCGATGGTGTGGTTTCTGAAAGAAAAACTAAAGTCAAAAGACCTGGTGACCACACGGATGCAAATAAGTACGAAGTAGCAACAAAGATACGGTAGCGCCAGATTCTTTCACATATATATAGTAATATGACAACCCCAGAATTGTGTTAAAGTTATTTTAATTTCTTTTTTTACGGTTGTATCATAAGTAGATTTCCACGCACCTTTTATAATATATCAGCCAATATACTGAATCGTGTGCTTGAACTTTGTTTACTGGTATTAGTAATGTAGATATATTACGGTCATATATCCATATCTATATTACAGTAGTAGTGATGAAACTAAATTGTTATAAGTGGTTTTATTGTCCGGACTGGGACCGTCAGTACTGTGCAGTACGAGAGATGTTTAATCTACAAAAATTTCAGTACTCCTGTGCCAGTGAGGATTGTCATTGGTATTAAGTGTTTTTCTCATGGGTGTTATCTGTAGCTAGCTTTGCCCAAGTAAAAATAGTTTGGTGATGATTGCAGCCTGTATCATATTTGCAGTATCATATGGCTTAGCATTGTTCTTTCCATAGTTGGGCCGGACACACAAAAAAAAATAGTTTATATTCAAAAGAGCTAATTTCTTTTGAGGAGAAACTATGATTGCCGATGTTCTCTTCCTCTTCCCCTCGCGCGTCATTGTCGATGCTGGTACACAGGTCAGTGCTTGTTTTTCCACTCTCGTGCTCATTAAGTAAAATTCGTGACATTCTGTGTGTAAACATAGTTTTTCTCTTTTTATCGTATTCTTATTAATGAACTCAATTAAGCAACTATACAAGGCATCTGTAACGGATTTTCGTAGTCATATTTAATACATTCTTTCAAAGTGACACTTCCCAGTAAAGTTATTGGACTTAACGAGGGGCAGATAAAGATGAGCCTGTTATAGTATAGAAGCAAAGTAAATATTTTACAATTATCCTTTAAACCAATACAATTTTATTGGTTTATGTCTATGTTTATGTTCGAAATCTTTATTATAAATAATTTTTTTTAATATTAATTATTTTTGTTGGTAAATTTATTATTTACTTCTTTTTTATTTTTGCACAAGTAGTCAACTTACTACAAAATATTTTTTTCTATTTTATTTATACTTTCTGCATTCATACAACAATTTATTATTATTGTGTATTTACTTTTATTTATCATATATTCTATTTGTATTATTTTTACCTCAGATAAATAATGTCTGTTTTTATTGCAATTTATATTGTTATTGTTGCTTGTTTTTACTATTATTTTTGACACTCGTTTATTCTTTGGTTTTTATTTGGTAATTCGTTTCGGCAGATATATTTTACAAGCTGTAGAGTACGCTGCATGTCCTCTTCTACAGAGCGCGAGTTCGCCCGCACGATCTGTCTCTACCCTTCATTCTTCTTTGGCATCGCCTGTACCTTCACTAGGGTTTTGGTCGGGTTATTCCAGAGATGAACAGAGAGAAATTTATCTTAGGGATCCGCGTCCGAATTAAAACAAATGCCCGCTTTTTTTCTCTTGTAGCTTTTATTTCCCTTTAGGTGGCCGTACGCATAGGTCCGGAGCTCGTATCAGTCGGCCGCTGAGGTGCGGGATAAATCGACACAGCATTCTATTCCTTTAACGGGCCCTCTGAGACGAGTGTTTCCGTTAGTATAATGCAAGTGACCCTTTTGTAGTTTGAAAATATTTCTAAAACCAGAATAACTCCATCCATGCTCCTCACCCATCAACTTCCTCTATAAGTCAATCGACATTAATTCCGAGTAGATTCAGAGCTTTCTGTCCTCACGGGCAATATCCATGGCTTCGATCATGAATTCGCTCGGGTTCTTCCAGATCTCAGTAACCTGGGATGAGGCATAGATGATGTTGTCTTTCTCGTCACAGAAGAACGCCCTAGTTGACCTCGCCCTATTACAATTCGACTCCGATATTGCACTTTTCCACCTAGGCCAGGACAATTCATCAGGGAAATGATGTAGCTAAATGTAATCATCTCTTGACGTCGCAGATTCCGACCGAGTCCCGACTCCCGCCTTGGCATCGACATCAGTGGCCGACGGTCGGGGTTTTTCTGACGCTTTGTTGTTGTGAATTGGCGAAAAGAAGTTGCTAGCTGAAAACTCGGGGCCCTTGTTCCTCTTCTTTCTTCGGTCTTGATCTCGTTGCTTCTCGATGATCCGCCGGTGCTCATCTTCCACGTATCTAATCGAGGTGATATTTGGGGGCATTTCAAAATGACAAAAACTATAGTGGAGGTCCAACCTTTGCAGCTCCAAGGGTTTCCAGTTAAGCTTTTCATAAATGTGCTCTGTTGACCGCACTGGTGCCTACACCTTAGCTGTGCTCACAGTCTCTGTGGCACGGTCGCCTTCAACTTCCTTAAGTCTGCCATTCATTAAACTGCTCTCTAGCACCCGGTCGATGCTCTCTTAGGTGGTTCTTTTATGAGTTTTTCCGGCCGTGAAGCAACCAACTTGGGTACCGGTTTCTTCGTCAAAGCTTTTTCTTCAGCCGTCACTGATCCTAACGAAAGTGGAATCCGTAATAGGAGCTCTTCCAGCTCCTGTTCGATCGCGTTGCCATTCGTAACAATACTTGAGTACTCTTTCGTTCCATCTTGTCTCTTGATCAGTAGGAGTTCAGGGTTTCAATGCAGATTGGAACAATGCGACAAATCAACAGCTTGCTAATCATGGCTACTGCTATCTTCAGAACTCGGCTTCCCTTAGTCTCTTTTTCAAGGATCAGTCTCGGTCACGTTTACCTCTGCGGCTACTTCCATAAGCTCCGCTGTCGACTTACTAGGTGAGTCGACGGTCATTACTGCCACCACTGCAGCGGACAGCTCAGTTAATTCTTTCTCCATCTATAAAATAATCATACACAAATACGACATTGAAACTCCCTCCACTAGTCTACAAAGTAAAACAAAAGCAAGTTATTAAAGCAAAATAAAATCAATAACATAGACATACATAATCATAAATAATCATACAAATAAATAACTGTGTTAAAGTTACCTAGTATCATAATTGGTATATCAGAAGATAAAAATAGATACTTTTCAAGGAATGGCAATAAGTATCCATAGATGCAGCAAAGGAGATAGCCGATAGAGAACTAATTGGTGGCAAATATGCAATCGATAGTATAAGTTTGGAAGGGCAGTCCAGTCATAGAATCAGATACTCTAAATTAAAGGAAGCAGATGATAATATACGATAACTGATTTTTTAGCCAGACAAGCAATCCACCTCCCCGTACTTTACCACTCTTTATAAAATCTTGATGAACATAACTATATCCTGGAATAGGAAATGCAACATCATGCACTGATGAGTCAAGGTAGGATTTAACAATTATTATTATATCAGTTTTTGGAGAGTATATGATAGCACTGTGTATAAAGGTTTCCAACTTTGTTTTAAGACCGCGTACATTCTGTTAATAAATAAGCTAGGCTCTACTCAAGAAGATGAAGTGGTTGTACTTATTGGTCACTAACCGAACTATCTGCAATTCAGTGCGATCAAAAGGTACTCCATCAAGTAATGATTGGAGAGAAGCAAGATCACTAGCAGCCGAGCCTGTTTCAGCAAAGTTTTAAACAATACGATTTCTCTTTCGCTTTCTAATTTCATGCCATTCAGTAATAATGCCTTCTTCAATATTATTCGGCATATATATAACACTAGCCTTCAACTGCGACACCCGTGATCAAGTGAATCAATACGACTTTCGTTGTCATTTTTCGTAGAATGAAGAGTATCAATTTGCTTGGATAAGGCACCCCAAGTACTGTTTGTATCCTACTGCATACTGGTGATATTATCATCAATAGAACTATTCTTATTATTAATATAAGAATATATTAATAGAGTAAGTAATCTGATTAATAATCTGAGACTTGATTTCAAGAATGAATCCCTTCATCTCATCCCATAAAGACGCTGGCACTTGCTGTGAAGGATTACTAATCGGCTTAGATGGTTCAGACTGACCAATTAATCATATAAGACGTATGAGCCGCAACATAATCTGGTTCGTTCAGTATATCAAGATTTGTTCCAAGCAGAGATGATATCCTAGGTTGCAATGAATCCATTCTACCACAGTATTTTTTAAATTAACTATCGGAAAGCTTCATCATTTTATTTGCACAATTGCGATGATAATAGAATTTACATTCAAGATACTTGGAAGAGGGACCAGCCACCGCGCGCCTTGGGCTGGTCTCTGCTAATTTTTACTAGGTTCTTTCTTGGTAAAGAAAGCCGGCGCTGACTTTCACAGGCCGACTTTCGCTCTGGTTGGGGAGGATGATTCAAATAATCGGACACTTTAATTAACTAATATTACAAATGACGATCTCATTTATTGACGTCCTTTTCACAAACATTCGTTACAAATTTAATTCGCCATGGCGAGCGCGCTTGCTCAGCTTTTCGTAACCGGACTTCGCGGGATCACGCAAGCGAGATCGTTCAGCGTGCGCG